ATCCACCATGCCGTCCTCGCTCCCCTGCCGCCGCCACCTCCATCGTCATCTCCCTCTCTCCCTCTCCCAGATCTCTGACCCAGCCACCACCCATGGCGCCAGCCAGAGCAGCCACCAGCTATGGTGACGGCGAGGCTAGAGGCCGCCGGATCCGGGATCAGGGTGGCGCATAGCCCCTCCTCCCGTGAGATCCTCTGCATCTAGCAACTCCTCTGCACACTGCACCTTGTCCCCATCCAGATCAAGCAGTTCCTCTTTGTCCGCTCTACCAATCCCCTCCGTCAGCAGTTGCTATGCAGTACACTTCCACCGCTTTCGCCGCCTCCCAAGTCGCCGTCCTCCTGATCCCCTCCCCTTCCCCTTCCTCTGCTTTGGACACCCCATCTCTGTCGAGCCGGGCGCCCCATCCACCTCTACGGGCGTAGACGGCATTGGCGTATGAGCAATGGCGCCGCCCGGGTCGCGACGGTGGGCGTACGTGCGGATCATGGCCGGCACCATCGTCGGCGGCGGCCTCGGCTTCTACGTCATGCTCCGCATCGAGACCTCCTACAAGGTACGACAACTCCCGTCGCACCAACCTGTCGCGATTTGTGGACCATTTGCTCGAAGTCGCGGTGCTTACTCCCGCTTTTCTTTGTCGTGTGCAGGTGAGGATGGAGGAGAGGCTGCGTTGATGGCAAGCTGGAGTGCCTCTACCATGGCTGGCAGTTGGACGGCCAGGGCAAGTGCGTCAAGATCCCACAGGTCCCACCATTCCACACTTCTTTCTAATCAAGTTCAGTCATGGATCTGTACAAACGCATGAGATTCTAGTCCAAAATTTATGTGTGATACTGTATAACTGTGTTATGTTTGAGATTCTAGTCTTGACACAGTAGCTCTTACTCTACCTGTGTGGCAATCATATTGTGTTTGAATGTAGCATAGTATCTGATTATGGTGTTTTTTTAGGTATTTATCTTTAGAAAAGGGATGTGTACAGTATTAGTATTTCCAGGAATCTGATTATGACACCCTGCTATCATGCCCCACTAAAACACATGAATTTTTTTTACCTTTCCCCCTTCGTGGTTACCGGTTTTGGACTTAAGGACACACATGCGTTAGTCATTAGTATTCACGTTTTATTTCTTTTTGTAGGATAGTTAGTATTCACTTTGCTGTTCTACTTTATACCTATGGTTAGTCTACTTACTGTTTCTGGACTTGAGGGCACACTTGTGTTGTGTGGTGGTATTTTACTTTTCTATTTGGTTTTATACCTGTCCATGGTGTATATATGAATGTCCTGAAATCAAATAACCTTCATAGGATAGGAAATTGGTAGTTTAGCTCATATAGATGATCTTATAGTGAACAGCTTCAGTTGTTTGATGCATGTTGCTGCCGTTTATCGCTGCATCTATGTTCATTCAGTATTAGTAGCTCCTTGGATCTATGCCCATGCATTGTATGCTCTTCTTTCCATATATGTACTGCATTTCTATATGGCAATGAGCTTACCCTCTGCTGTCCTGTTTCCATGGCGCGCGCAAACTGTGCAGTGCTGCTGTGGCTCCTGGTGGCGGTGAGCGTGAAGCTGGGGCGGCGCCACATTGCCCACAACGTGGTGGAGCTGATGGAGAGGCGGCTGGCCAAGGACGACTTCCCCGAGTACTACGACGGCAAGACGGGGCGGTACATCGAGAAGCAGTCGCGCAAGTTCCAGCCGTGGTTGGTGGCGGGCTACCTGGTGGCCAAGATGCTCCTGGACGACCCCTCCAACCTCCGTGCCGTCTCCCTGGAGGACGACGGCCACACCTGAGCAGCATCTAAAGTTAGCATCTGCTGCACTATCGCTGATGATGTTTGTTTAAGGCTATTGCTTTGCTCTGTGTGATTTTACTCTAGCATGTGTGTTGCATTTTGTCCTGCGCCTTGAGAATGACTAGGATTTATGTTATAGAATTCCAAGTGTAGTCGCAATATATAACATGCCTAAAGTATATGGACTTGTGCAGTGTGTCCATCGAGAGTAGATAGACTATTTCTTTCATGATTCATCTATATATGCTGCTCTTATATGCAAGTACCAATCGAGTACGGACGTGGTACTAGTAGCGACACTGTGCCCGCAATCAATGCACGCTTTCCATCATGTTTGGTCATTGGTTGTTCGATCGGTGACTTGGTTTACTTCTTATTACTCCTGTTATACTAGATAGGAAGCTATTCACTTATTATATGCTTGTTCTACACCGATGCTGTTTTTTTATGCTGGTCCTATGTCATGGGTGTTAATATCTACTACCTATTTACTGCTTGTTATGCAAAATCTTTTGGTTATTGTAAATCATTCCCTGCTGTATAAAGTTTGGTTTTAGTCTGTTGCATTTTGTTGCTTCCTATCTTGTCAATGTATACAACAATATGCTTTCTTGGTGGCCATTTGTGCTTCACATTTTTTGGGTATGCCACTTCTCTAATGAGTGGGTGCATCTCTTCTTTGTTTTATCATTCTATATTGTTTTCCTAACCTTTTTGGTATTCTGCTTTCTCCTTGCAGATGGCAAGCACCATTTTGTTGGTTCCTGTCTTGCTAATGTCTACAGCAATGTGTGCGTCCTCTGTCTCATCTGCGGCATTACCGTAGGGCAACTCATAATGGGCCTATCAAGCATACTGACCTTGTGATGATAGATAAAGAGGTTGATTTCAGTGCCATTCTGATAAATATATTTTTAGCCCTATGAACTGAAAAATGAGTGCTTCTTGGTTGCTTCTGTTGTTGGTCCAGAAGATTCTTGGTGCTTTTAGTGCAGTACTATACTATGCTCCTTGGCACTTCTTGCTGTGTTAACTAAATGGTTTAGTCCTGCGCTTCATAGAAGCAGTTTTAACTAAATGTAATGAACTAATTAAGTGCCTTCTTTTATTGTTGGCTAATCCTTTGGTTTTATCGCATGCTACATTCTACTCTCTCCATTCCTAAATATAAGTCTTTCTAGACATTTCAAATGGGCTACAACATACGGATGTATATGATGATATGCTACCACTCTAATAAGTCCAAGCACTATAAACCCTATGAACTTAATAATGATACTCTGCATGCTATGAGTAAAGTGCTCTATTTTCTTGTGTCACCTTGTATGGCAGACATACATGTCTTACAAAGTCGTTACTCTTGTTTGAAGCTAAGCTAGGCTACCGCAGTTCCAGCAAAAAGCAGGGGAGCCGCTCTCTTTTTCCTTCACTAATCAATTCTTGTTTGAATGCATATCCTGGGGGTGGTGAAGCTGGGAGCCTTTCCTCCCCATAAAAATACTTTGCTCTTCATTATGAGCAGTGCCCTTATATAATTAGCTGCTAGGAGTGTTGATTATGTAATGGTTTGGAGTAGTTGAGCATGGCCTGATGCACCATTCATGTTGTTAGCATGTATATATACACTATTACAATAGCTTGTTGATCAAGCGTTTGTTTCTATCTAAATGTGTGCACAGAAGTTCAGTTACCTTCTAAAAAATTATTGGTGCATTTTTTTGTTTCTGTTATGTTACAAGTGTTTTGAATTAAGTCCATAAATGATCGTTGTCCAGTGCACACAGTAGCACTGCAAAATGCAAGTATGCTGATTATTTTTTGAAAACTCTATATATTATTTCTAGCATCTTATACATGTAAAAAGAGAGTTAGAAAATGTGAATTAAGTGTAACCATGAGCTTTGTTTGTTCTTGTACTCTTTGTATGTTCCTGGTCGCTACCACCGACTGCGAGCGGGGGTCCTGGTCCTCTCCCTCGTCGTCCTCGGCGGCGGCATCGCGGCTTGGCGCCATCGCCGTGCCCTGCGTCAACATCACGATCAGCTTCACGGATCGCCATCTTCACGGTACGCACGCACACATTTCTGAAATCCACAGTCAACAGTTTGGTGTACGCGCTGACTACTGAATCATGAGACATGCGTGTGGTTGTGCTTGTGCAGAGGTTGGTCGAAGAGGGCTGGAGTTCATGCTGTTCCTGCTGTCCCTGTTCGTGTTCCTCTTCGGTACCTCCTAGTTCATCTTTGACCTCATCCTGGTGAGATTTCCATCCAACCCTCCCCGTCCCCATGGTGCTCTTTCTAGTTAGTACTCGTCCGAGAGAGTTGCTTGGAGTAACTATACTCAAGATGCAGTCGTAGTAGGATTAGTTGCTTGGAGTATTTAACAAGACCGAACAAGATTTAACTTGTCAAGATTTAACAATATTTCTTAGTAAAGCTGAGTAGAGTATATATTCTGAACATGAAAGCATAAATATTCTCAGCATAAGTACATGATTAGGAGTATCATGCTTCTGAATATCTCCAAGCTGGATATTTCCATTAAACATGTTTCTGAATACCTCCCATATATATTTCCGTTAGTCTGCTTAGTGCATCATTAAGATTATAAGCATCATTTTCATTGAATCCTGGTTACATATTTGTGTGTACTCAAGTTGAAAATGGGACTTGGAATAATATGCAAGTTTCATCTTTTCTATTGCAGCGAGTGGGTCAGTTATGTACTGGCAGCATCCTTGTATGAATGAGTATATCGTCTTAACTATCTGGGGACAAAAATCATTGTATTAGCTGAATTTGTGTTATCTTTCTAAAGAACTTGTCCTTTTTTTGAATGTTCTGTTCATAATATATTGGCTCCAGCGTTTTGTTTCTTCTCTTCTGATTCATGTAACAGGGCGACGGTCGAAGGCATGATGATAGTTCTATTGCTGTCCTAGTGTAGCGAAGGTAGCCTAGTCGACTATGGTCGCGTAGTTAGTCATGCATACAGTTTCATCTGACTGGAGCCTAGTTTGTGCTGATTGTCAATTCTCATTGTGATTGTCCCTATATCTGTGTGACTGATTGTATTTGTATCTGTGTTGTAACTGTGTCATGACAGAAGGAGCCCGGTATATTTGTATGACTGTGATTGATTCTCGCTGTTGTTATTTGAAATATTACTTGTGTTTTCTGTCTGTTCTTATTTAAACATGGTTATTTATTTCTGTCAAATTGTCAAATTGTAATCTGAATAATATGATGCTACCAAAAGGGTCCCACTTTAATAGAACCTGACAACTGGGACCCATCTGACTAGTGGACCCTTCTTTTGGGAAAAAAGAAAAACTAAATTCGTTTAGACAAAAAGGCCACAACCCAACAATAAAAAGGCTGCAATATTGGACTTGGCCCATGAACCCAACCAAAAATTGACACACAGAAAAAACACAAATAGGCCGAATTGTTGGGCTAGGCCCATGTAGAAAATCGAATTGGACCGGGCTGAATCTTGTGCCACATCAGCTTGCCACGCTGGATGCCTACGTGGCCTAGGGAGGTTGCTAGTGACCAAAACGCCACAGTGGACTTATTTTGGTCATAAACGTTTGTGACCATTCCAGAAGAAAGGTCGCTATAGTCAGTTTACGACGCCCAGCTTTTGACCTTATGTTTTTGGTCACAAAAAGGTCATAAATGGAAATTTGTGACCTTTTAGTGACCAATAGTGGTGGTCATAAGTTGAGATATTTCTTGTAGTGCACAAACAAATAAGAACCTCGCAACCAACGCGATAAAGGGGTTGTCAATCCCTTCACGGTCACTTACGAGAGTGAGATCTGATAGAGATAATAATGATAAGATAAATATTTTTGGTATTTTTATAATATAGATTGAAAGTAAAGATTGCAAAATAAAATATTTGGAAACTTATATGATGGAGAATAGACCCGGGGGCCATAGGTTTCACTAGTGCTTCTCTCAAGATAGCATAAGTATTACGGTGGGTGAACGAATTACTGTCGAGCAATTGATAGAAAAGCGAATAATTATGAGAATATCTAGGCATGATCATGTATATAGGCATCACGTCTGTGACAAGTAGACCAACTCCTGCCTGCATCTACTACTATTACTCCACACATCAACCGCTATCTAGCATGCATCTAGAGTATTAAGTTCATAAGAATAGAGTAACGCCTTAGGTAAGATGACATGATGTAGAGGGATAAACTCAAGCAATATGATATAAACCTCATATTTTTATCCTCGATGGCAACAATACAATACTTGTCGTTTCCCTTTCTGTCACTGGGATCGAGCACCGCAGGATTGAACTCAAAGCTAAGCACTTCTCCCATTGCAAGAAAGATCAATCTAGTAGGCCAAACCAAACTGATAATTCGAAGAGACTTGTAAAGATAACCAATCATGCATAAAAGATTTCAGAGAAGAATCAAATATTGTTCATAGATACACTTGATCATAAACCCACAATTCATCGGATCTCGACAAACACACCACAAAAAGAGTTACATCGAATAGATCTCCAAGAAGATCGAGGAGAACTTTGTATTGAGATCCAAAGAGAGAGAAGAAGCCATCTAGCTACTAGCTATGGACCCGAAGGTCTGAAGTAAACTACTCACACAACATCGGAGGGGCCATGGAGTTGATGTAGAGGCCATCCATGATCAATGCCCCCTCCGGCGGAGCTCCAGAAAAGGCCCCAAGATGGGATCTCTTGGGTACAGAAGGTTGCGGTGGTGGAAATAGGGTTTCGTGGTGCTCCTAGATGTTTTCGGGGTATGTGAACATATATAGGAGGAAGAAATAGGTTAGTTGAGCCACGAGGGGGGAGGGCGCGCCCAGGGGGTAGGCGCGCCCCTGCCTCGTGGACACCTCGTTGGTTGCTTGACGTCCACTCCAAGTCCTCTGGATCACGTTTGTTCCAAAAATCACGCTCCCGAAGGTTTCATTCCGTTTGGACTCCGTTTGATATACTTTTTCT